GTATACAAGAAAAAATAAATTTGATGGCATGACGAGAGGCGAAACGTTATACTGAAATTCTAATTATGCCATCTTCTAGAGGAAAAAAAGTAAGAATGTTAATGTACTTTTTTATTTTGGAATAAAGTCAGAAAAGTATAACAAAGATCTGAGGAAAATTCGGTCTCTTTCGACGATCCGAAAATAGTCGGAATTGCGAAGCTTTCCAACATCCATTATCTTAATTATATAGATGGGTAACTCTTCCCCATTTAAGCGATTTCGTACCTCTTACGGTTTCCTACATCTCAATGGTAACAGTCGAATTTAAAATACCTTTAGCTTACTGATATTCAAAAGAGTAAAATGATTTCAGACGAACCGTATTATTTTGAGGATACTGGGCAAGCAATTTGATATTATAATTGTATTCCAACACATAAAAGATTTGTTCAATGTACACGAGGAACATTCCTCGACCTTCAACTGTCGGTGCTGTAGAATTTTGTTCCGTAAACCTTCGGTCATTTTGTGAAGTCACTAATGATTTTGTGTTATCCTCAGTTGATGTTTTATCTAGCTCATCTGCGACGCCCACATCATGGTTAGTTGAAACATTACTACCGAAAATAATAACTACAATGACTGGAATACATTATTTTGCTCTCAACATTTCTCTCCAATTGAACTTCGCAACTACTTTAGAATCTTGCTCCGGATTTCTATTATTTTTCAATTGCTTGATTAAATTTGCGCAAACAATTTAGCATTCTCTGCTTCTTACACAGAAACACACTACACGCCTCTTAATTTTGTTTCTAAACCGTATACACCTGAGCACTTTTGGAAGCATTCCTGGTATTGGAGAAATTTTAATCCAACATCTGTAAATTATCTGGTGGTTTCCTCGTAGATGAATCCCTATGTTTCATAGGCCGTGAAATGAAACCACATATGTATGTACTAACGTTTCGGAAACCTCCATACCATTTCTCAACGTAAAAAGCTATAACAATAAAAAGAACTGATTATCACTTGAAAGATTGTCATATTGTTAGTACTTTGAAAAATTTTACTGAGGTGGCCGAAACGTCAGTAAATCTTTCTGTTCCACATCTGCAGCTTTATTTGAAAGAAAATATATTATTATCCCATACAAACCCTAGATTACGTAAGCGCAAGTGGGGTTGGATGTTGATTTCACTCTTGTTGACAAATCAAATAAAAAAACTACTCAAGAATATTTTATAGCCGGTTCGGTTGAATATACGTCGTGGTTTGAAAGCAGTGTCTATATTTCTGATAGACTGAAAAATAAATATAACCAACTTCTACGCCTTTGATCGAGGAGAAAGAAAGTAAATTTCTGAATAACGTCCAAAGCCATAAGATCATGTTCAGGTGCAGTTATTACATTCTGGAGGGAAAACTATTTAAAAAAAATACTGAAAAGTACTCACCACAGATAAATACAAGGTGGTGTATTAATAATGACATAATGTAAACTGGTCTTCGTTGTCCTACAAATCAAAGAAGTGTTATCAAGAACAGTTTATTTAAAAGTGTAAAATCAATGACATTAGCTGACTTGCAGTGCATGGCATTTTGAATTGTTGTCTGCAAATTATCACGCTCCAGATTGGCGGTTTCTTCTTCAATAATATTAATTTTCAGGGCCTGCAAAGTTTATTGTTTAAATGAGCTGTTCAGGAAACGGTGTTCATATTTCCAATTTTCCAAGACAATGGCAGCCGTACACTAATTTACCACGAGAAAAAAATTGTGTGCTTTGCTTTACTGAGACCCACAGATTTATAATATGAAGGGCATGGAGAAAAAAGATGGATGTCACAAAAATTGAGTTTTGAGAAAAGTCAATTTAAAAGTTTGGAGACTCCTAGACTCGTTGGTCAAGGATCTGACGAAGTAAGATAGATTCCTTATTATAAGAAATTGAAAGAAAGCTAAATTAAAAATAAAAAAATTTTTGTTATACAGGGTAGCCCAAAGTGAAACCAGACCAAACATTTTTTAATGAAAAATCCAGTTTATTCTTGTATTTTGAGATTCTCCTTATGATTTTAACCATTTTTTATGTGTTAGCGTCCATGCCTGAATTCAACCTTTTTGAGGATATTGAGGATAGAAATGAACCTTGCATCATATGCGACACCCTGTAAAATCTAAGGGTTGATTAACCAAATGCCTCTCTTAGGTTTTACGATCTGTTCTAATATGAGAACTATCTTAACAGGGTATATATTACATAGAACATAAGAAAAAGTTGATTATCTAACCTCAATAGCTCAACGAGGGAATTATTTCTAAGTATTTTGTTAATTGGGACAGGGAAGGACAATGAACCAAAAAAATATTAATTCAAAATATAGAACAGACAAAACTGATTAAAAATTAAAAAAAAAAAATTAACGTTTATTTCTTTCGTCGCAGATTGGTGACGATCAGTGGAGGCACATCTTTTTTTATACGATGGCTGTGACATTCATTTTTGTCCGTGCACAGCAAGTTTTCAATTGGGTATAACTACGAACTGTCATTGTTTTTACGTGTTTCCGATACCTCATGGGATTGTTCTGCGTTAAGACATGTTGCCGGTTCTAACTACAAAACATCAAATTTGTGACATCCATCTTCTTTCCCCTGTACCCTTCATATGTTGAGCCCAAATACACTGTCTGTCATTTATCAACGTACTCCTCTAAAATATTACCTCTGGGTTCAAACAACCCGCTAAAAGTCTTTTAGCTTAAATGATACGAGCAAAAGGCACATGAAACACTCTAGTTGCCTATTAGAGGTACTCAAAATGTAAAAACGTAAAAGAGAATTGGACCGCGTTATGCATTCCTTGACCAAGCACCGTTTGATGAATGTTGAGGTTTTGCTGCCATCTGACGCATTCATAAAATGCATAAGGACTTGGCATTTAAGTGCAAAAATATTTGAATCTAAGTGCCCAACGTAATATTACTTGTTCTTCATTTTGCAACACTTCACTAAACGACCAGACTTTGTGGCGTGTTAGCAATTGAACCTCGAACGTCTTGCTTAAAGTGACCAACCTCCATATAATTAGCTATCCAAGTACTTAAAACTACATAATGCGTTGAAAAATCGATGGATATTTTAAGGAGCAAGCTGGAGTCAGTAGCATGTTAAGATTTAGTATTGCAGCTTGCTAACTTGACCCATTAAAAAATAAGTGCTTCTGAAAAGCACTGTATGTTGATTGAAAGCTTGGCTCAAAATTAGGGAAATTGAGGTGCTTAAAGCTAAGCCTTTGTTTGTTTTTGTTGAAACTGATTTTTCGATCTAAAAAGATCAATATTGAGAAAAAAAACGAGACAGACGATCAAACATTCCAGTTCAAGGATTACTTGGAAAACCAATGGAAAGCCTACATCAGAAAAAAGCTAGAAGATCTAAAATCATTAGCCACCCAAGGAGGCGAAGAAGTTTTGTCGGGATCTAGTTGGCGAGAATTGAGGAAGACATAGATGGGTTCACTGATCATCCAGATTTTGAACTTTGAGCATGGCTAATACAAACCTTTCAATCTAGATTCTTAAATTCTTATAAAATGTGTTGCAATTTTTTATTTTATTTAATTTTTAATTGAGTTCAGAAATGATTTTAAAAGAAAGAATAGGAAAATTTGATATTCATACTACTACTTGTTTGGTTTAGCAAACGTTTAAACTTGATTTCAGTTTTTTAATGATGATGGTACTATTTACTAATATACAAAAAATGTTTTTCCGACATATATTCCTAATTTCGCTTAGCATACTTTAACGTTCATGTGTGTGGTCATTGAAGGAAAAATAGGAATTCTTGTTGAAATTATTACTTGACCAAACGCCATTTTATTTCTGTAGATTTCATTCGGGTTTCAGAGTTTTTGGAAAAATCATCGCATACATAAATTTGTAATACAATTCTATTCACAGAATAAAAATCAGTTAACTCAATCATTTCGTTGATTACTCACGAATAGTTAAAGTTATTTCATCCTAATGAGAAAAATATTTTTGTCGCTTGGTCAAATCATACATAACGCGGTCCAATTAAAGTTACATTTCCTTTGTTCAAAGACTGCTCAATTTTATTAACTACCCTTCGAGTGCTAGATATCCTTGCACGGCCCACCTAGTCTGCTAAACCCTTTTGTAGTATATATACAAGCTCTGTAAATTAAGTGATGATTTTTTTGAATGTAATTACAGTTTTATATTGTTACCCTCAAAATAATTTCCTTCTTAAGCCACACAGTGCTGAAGACGGTTCTTCCACTCCTCATAGTAGTGCTGGAACTCCGATACTGGAATAAATAGCCTTCATTTGGTCGGTTACAGCCACTTGAATGTTTTCTACTGTCCCAAAATGAGTTCCCTTGAGGAGATTTTTCAACTTTGTTAAGAGAAAAAAGTCACAAGGATTCAAGTCAGGCGAATAAAGAGGCTTAGGTGCCACATAAATGTTTTTACTCGCCAAAAACTCGTTTATTTACATTGCTGTTTGACAAGAAGCATGTGAGTCAAATTTAACAAATCCCCGATAATTCTGACTGTCACTCGACGATCTGAACGTACACGAACCCGGATTCTGTCGATATTTTAATCGGTTCTTGATGCATTAAGCTACCGGAAAACCTGGGCTCTTGACAAAACACTATCTCCGTAGGCCTGTTTGGCAAACGTTTCCGTTGCACTGTGCCCTCGTCTTAAGCAAAACCTGATAGCACACCGTTGCTAGAAATTGATGTCACTGATTTTTAGAACACAATAGAAAAAACTATTTCACATAAAAAAACGCTGCGGACAACCAAATAACTCGAGCGAGTTCAAACCTTTACTGAAGGCGGATCACATGTTCCCCTGTACCCCTCAAACCCAGCACCTCCAGCATTGCCGGATCGAACGCCACTATCATCACTTAATTTACATACCTCGTATATCGTTGGTTTTTGTAGCATTTCTAAGTAAACTTTGCTTGTTCAGGGATGCTATACCTCAGCAGCAAGCATTGTAAGCCGGGCTACGATCAAGAGCACCATCGCTAAGGAAACCAAGGAGAAGAAAAACAGGGAGAAGCTGATGGCAGGACCTGGTTCGGATTTTTCTATAACTGGACATGATACTGATTTGGAAATGGATTATTATGACTACAATGTTATCAATGCAGGAGCCGCTCCAGGATCCTACCTAGGTAAATATTTTTATTTTCTGTACAGGCATTTTCTTTCCCACCTAAGCTTCTTCTATCTTCCCTTCCTTGCTATTTTTCAGCCTTACAGCCTTTTCACATATTTTTGATATCTGGAAAATTAGTAGGGTCTGACAGAACAACCAAATGACCAGTGCAAACCTTAACGAAAGCTATGTAAGTTTTGGAACAAAAGTAAATATCATCTGTGCTTGAGATTCCGATGCTTCTGTTTGGAATCGTTAATGATGTGGTAAATAGTGGCGCTTCTTTGGGTTACTGGAATAGGTAATAAGCGTCTTTATCGTTTGGTGTCTTAGAGCTCAAAGTGCGTCCATAATTCCACGTCACCGGACTTGAACGCCAACTTCATGCCCTAGATATATTTATAACTGTTATTTTCACTTTTCTCAGGTATGGATCCAGCTTTCCTAGTCTGGATACCACCTTTAGACGAAACAGGCGAAATTCTTCCTGAAGAAAGTCACGAGTACCACGAGATGGAGGACATCCGACCTAAAATGTATATCGATCCAGGTAGCAATAAGGAATCTCCCGAACAAGAGATGCTTCTTCCGAAATCGGATAGCAACCCCAGAATTAAAGTCACATCGTCTGAAAATAGATACGGCTTAGATAACAGACTGATCAGTGAAGTGGAACCGCTTGTACATAAATGTAGGGACGGGACGATACAAGAACAACTTCATAGGAAGCAGAAGGTATGTACTGCTTTAGTTGACTAAGTGCCGTATCGTTAGTCGTTCCTACAATTGTAGGACGGCTTTATGAACTCCTTGATTTTCAACGTTTTCTACTGTTCCACGTCACCGCTCAACTTTGAGGTTATGTCACAAATATCTATTTGCATCAAATTGTTCGTGCTTTTGGTTTATACCATCCGTTTTATCAGTCTGAATTTCCTTAAAGGAGATAGGAGAGCGCTTACGTTGAGACGAAACAGGTTAAATCTGGAAATACCCCAGTCTATCTGAAGGAGAGAAAAGACTATGACAATCAAGGAGGCCATAAAGTCATCCTACAATTGTAGGAACGACTGACGATATGGCTTAGCATACACTCTGCTGCTGGCGAGCGAACTATCCTGACGAGTCTAGATAATAAAAATAATAACATTCACATCAACAGTATGTCACAGATAGTGTATAGTGGAAACCCTCTATCAAAACTGTAAGTGTGCGTCCATATTGCGAGCCTAGCACGGTTGCGACGATGGGCGCAAACCGCCATGTACACATTATGAAACGCGCTATTGCGTCGTTCGTGTAGTGACTGAGGCAGAAGATTAGGACGATGGGATTTAGGGAGACGGCTAGTTTTCAAACGGGCCTAATCAGCAAGCGACCTAACGCGCGGAGGTGGAGGTAACAAACCAGTTCGGTCTTGTCGCTCGGCGTATGCATGAGTATTATTGTATTGTAATGGCGGATACTGAATTGTTTATAAGTGCAATTCAATCGAAACCACCTATGTGGCAAAGTAAACATCCACATCACAGATATTTTACTTAGGATGTAGTCAAATGTTGACACGGGCATTCGTGTGTACTCAAAAAAATTCGTAGGGTATAATCTCAGATCTCCATACAAATTAAAAAATTCAGCAGTTGTTTCTCAGTTTATTTCGTGCACACCATCTCGAATGGTCAACACCTCCCATGTGAGGATCGGACTGTCTAGTAAAAATATCAAATCGTCGTCCATAGTTTGGAACTTCTGATAATACGTCGAATCAGTACATGAGCTCGCGCGTCACTGTGGACACCGCCCGCTGCCGCTCGCCGCGCCCGCCTTGCTCCCCAGTCACCGCGCATTCAGTATGGAGGCACACTTACGCTGCGCCATCTGCTGTGTTTTGTTATAATAACATGAAATTATTTTGAGCACATTAATCAAATTCAAGCGGATAACCAAATGGAAATGGTATTTACCATTTTGGGTTGGTATTTACCAATCAGTTCAAGCGAGTGTAGTTATCAGTTTGGTTATAAGATCCGTTACGTCACGAATCAGCTGTTATATGTCATAGTTATCACCGCAAAATTGTGGTATTTACCCAATTCAAGAGTAGTTTTATATTTCTGGTTATTATTTGAAATGTGACAAGTTAGAATTTTGCCGGGTATTGGATATTGTTATTGTACTTCAGCTTCATTTTTGAGAAAAATGATACAGGCTGACCTCAGTTTTACCATAAAGTGGAGCACCTTATTAGTTATACTCATTACGGTTGTTGGGGACACTTTAAATGTAGTTCCTATGCTTAACAAAGTATCCTGTGTAGCCATATACCACAAGAATATTAAAATATGGCCATATAAACTCACTAGATGATATCCACCTGTATACGGTTTTGCTAATTTCTTTTTTCATCATTTCTGCTGAATCAATAAATGTTTTCTTTGACATGCGGAAAAATTTGGAAAATTGAAAGTTATAATAGCTACAAAGCCATGGTTCCATCATTGAAAAAAAATCTGAAAAAAACATTTCTCCCATGAATATTATGAAAGGTTCCTTATTTAAACTTTCCATATACAGTTGTAGACGAAAAAGCACCGATTATTAAATGATAATAAAAATAATCAGAGATTATATACGCGCTTTTCTAAAATAAACAACTTGCAACAAAACCGTGGTTAAAACCAACACGTTCAAGCGATCCGTGTAACTGAGGTCATCAACCCGTGTGTCATCTTGAACCATATTATAACCGCGGCACATAACACAGAAATTTTGGTTATTCGCTTGGATTTGATTCATATCTGTTATTTCACGTGATGACAAATGAGGTGTCAAATATATTTTTCAAGAAAGAGCGACTTTATATTTTACATGGGTCACTAAGAGATCTATAAAATATCGCTATGGTTTGTCCAAGTGTACCTTTTGAAAACCACTTTCACCGATTGTTGATTGCATTGAGGAAGGCTATATCTCAAGAACTGAGTTTGTGGTACACGAGAAAGTGGTAAAAAGAACCCAGTCAACAATTGTATCATTTTTCTAACAAACATCAAACTGTTAGGTTAACCATCAGTGACAGAGAAACCAGAGGTCTTTCATTCCAGTCTGACTGACTAATCACCAAAGGGTTGACTGGTCACGGGTATTATGTAAAAAACCTATAGAAAGTAAAAAAAAAACCTATAAGATGTCATCTTATCTTATGCCGGCTTCTCACTGCGCGTGTTGACCCGCGCCACGCCGCGCCGGCACGCGCCTCGCGCAGTGTGAAGAGCTTGGCGCGGGCAGGCGCGGCGTGGCGCGACCTATCCGCTAAAAGTCGGTAACTTCAAAGGCGCGGCGCGGCGTGGCGTGTACCTACCCAGACAGACGAACACGATTGAACTCGTTCATTTCATTTTGACTCGCCCTACGTTGAGGTACTGTGGTGAATATGGAGTGGCCGAATGCAACAGCCATGCCTTCTTCTTCAGTGGCATTGCTCCATGGCTGGAGGTGGCAATTCGACTCACAAGACATAGTGCGCTGCGCTAAACAGACTGAATCAAACTGAGGTGTAAAGCCAGAAGGCACGCGCCGCGCCGCGCCGCACAAACGGGTGGCGCGGCGTGTCGCGTGGCGTGTTCTTGCGCGTGGAGCGGCGCGACGCGTAGTAGCACGCGTAGTGAGAAGCCACCATTATCTTTACGGCTCAAACAGTCATTCCACGTTTGCTCACTAGGATCGTTGTGAACGTTCATCTATGGAGGAGTCATTTAACAACTAAATTACACGCATTGTTGGTTGCATATGTTTTGTGAGGCCGATTGGTCTGTGTCTGTAGTTTTTATCTCTGAGAAGAAAGTTTGGTGAAAAGCAAGATCGCATCTGAATGGTTATGTGTATTGGTCTGCATGTGTATAAAATCAGTGATATTTGCTGTGTGAGAAAATCATAACGGGATATGCTGCGAAAGAAGTATATCTATTAGCTGTGCTCGACGGGTTATTTACGAGGGCCACGCTATATATTTTGAGATGCACGAAAACTGAAAACTATTTTTCGAAAACTAGTTTATTTATGTTCAAAGTATTCTCCTCCAGTATCAATGCACTTCCACAAACTAGATGCTTCTAACCAGCCAGTTTTTGAAATGCCTTCAACAGACTGATTAATTGCTTGTTCGATTTAACTTTGGACGAAAATTTTCGACAAAGCTTATTTTTTTTCAAATTGTTGAAGAGCCAGAAGTGACACATTGCCAAGTCTGGCTAATAAAGCGGATGTTCCAGCATTTTGATGTGGCGCTGGTGTAAAAAGTCTAGAGATAGTTGGGCAGTGTGGCTACAGGCATTGTCGTAGATTGCACGCAACAACTGCTTCAAATGAAGATTATCATGCAAAATGGTGTGCATTGTTGAGGATCCTACCCCAAGAGTTGCCTCCATAGTCGCATATGTGCAGCGAGAATCTTGTTCAATTAGCCGCTAAGCTTTAGCAGTTTCTTCTGGAGTCACACTAGAACATGGCCTACCACTATGTGTTCTTCATCAGCCCATGAAACACACTTGCCCAGACAGAGCTTCATTACCAACTGCCTGTTGAAACCGGTAGTGGTGTTGAAAAAGTAATAATACGATACTCGAGTACTCGTTACTCATAGATACCCGAAGTAACGAGTACCAATCCGGGCACGAAATGATTACTTTGATTACTCTGTTTTCTATATCCCTACCCGATACCCCTACAATCGTTGATCGTTGAGTGGCAACGCTGGTTAGACTGTAGCACTGTGGCTCATGCATCAGGGTTGCCAGACATTCAGGTGGAAACCTGGAAATTAATTTTTTTTTTGATTGGCGGACATAGAATTTGGTAATTGTTTTTAACTATGAAGTTTACCTATTTACACCGTGACACAAATTCGCTTTTATTTTTGTGATCTTGGGAACCTGAAAAGGAATAAGGAGTCGATTGGATCGGATTCGGCAGTATTGTGAGGCCGAAAATCGACAACAAGGTAACACCACCGTTCAGGAAAACCACAAGTTATGTCAATCTGACTCGTGTTTAAATGCACTGTTTTGCAAAAAAATCTAATTCAACATGACCACCAATAGTAGACTAAGCTCAACGTAGAATTTTTTATACTACTATATGCTCAATTGAAATGCTTCGAAAAGTTGCATGCCATTCCGAATTTCCTTTAGCCCATATTCAGATCATCTTTCTGACTAAAAGACATGTTTTCAAGCAGTTCTAGTAAATACAAAGTATTTTCAGTTTGTAGGCTCATACGAGTCATATGATACTCCATCCTATGATAACCCATCTCGGAAAGCATACAGTTTGAAGATACAATGTTTGCATTAAACATGACAGTCTTGAATAAACTATGCTTATAACATTTTCAATATTTTAAGGTTGTCTATTTTCTTACAAGATTCGGTTCCGTTGAACTTGTTCAAATTCCACATTAATCATTATACCCATACTACCCATAGTAATCAAAGTAAAGAATACAATAAATGATTACTTTGGAGAAGAGTAACTATTAGTAACGAGAACTCGAAAGTAACGATAATCATCACCACTAGTAACCGTTCGATACATTAATGTTCAGTTAAACCGAATTTAAGGTCATAGTAAATCATAGCATTATAACGCTCTCGAGACAACTCCATGTTTCATCTTAAATTTGTTTACACCACGTTCACTGTAAGATGCTTGTAAATGAACTGAATACGGTGACTTACTAATAAAGGACTGCTCTTTCTAGTAGTGCACTGTTGCCGGCTTTAACTAGTATAGTAAATGCACATGTCAGAATATACAGCGTGCCCCTCGTATATGTTGCCCTTTTCGAAGACAGGTTATGTTCAAAGTTATAAATTATGAAAAACTTTGAGGAGAATTACGGGAAATCATCACCGCGCCCGCGTTGGGTGTAATTACTGTTAGCATGGATAAGGCTTATAATTCGACAGTAAACAGTGAATATATTTATTTCTTATATCTCTAATGTTGAAATTCTGCAAATTTGCATATGTAATTTCGAAAATTGGTAACAAAAAGTGTATGCGTAACAAACTTCAGCTTTAAATCTCAATCAAGTGTATCAGAGACAAGAATCTAATGGAATTATCATCAACACATACAACTTACAGGTTAGACATCCAGTAATTCCATCTCTGAAGCAGATTTTACATCACATCAGAGCCAAGCATTGATAACTGAAGCCTCATGACCTTTAGGCAACACGTACAACTAGGTGCTAAGTTAACATCTTGTAGAAAACCCTACATAATGTCAAAAAAAAAATATAACGTCACTTTTCAAGATACGTAAAACCAGTGCCGATCACGTCTCGTCAATAGCGTTGCGTTTTGGCATTTTAAATTTACGGTGTATTTGTTCCGTGTGATATGAATAAATACTCTTAATTTTGTAATGATCAAATAAATATGATTAAAGGTATCATTCTATTGTTGATTTTACTCAAAAAAGTCCCGAAGGACGCCCTTTACTTACTCATTTACTATCAACGGGTGTTCTCTAAAACAATCTTTATTTTTGTTTCAGATATCCAGGAAGGATAGCGAAAAAGAAACCAAAGTGGAAAAATCTCCCAGTCTGGAAGATTCGGAATATCTGAATGACATAAAATATGTTGACGACGAAGACGATGATCAGTGCAATAATGATGTATCATATCAAGATTCGAATATAATATCTTCCAGTTAAGACTGATGGGTTGTTAAACATATTGTACCATGTAAAGTGATTACAAGAATATTTATCGAATATGCTAGAGTCGCAGTGCCTACAATAGGTAGGGTGTCTCATTCTAGGTCTCAAATATCGAGATCTTTTGGTGCCCTTCAAGGAACCTGCACTGGGACTTAATGTACTATAGAATTCAACCAGTAGTTTTCTACAATAGACATTTCGTTTTTCATTCTGGATAGTTAGGATTATGGGCACTCCACGTCTCTATCGCTTACTCTTCAGCTATGTGTACAAATTCAGTAACTGTTTTAACATGTTCATCTGGTAATTGTGGACATTAAATTTCAAATGAGCACAAATTGTCATGTTCGGTGGTAATGTGGTTATGTTTTGGGATATTTTGATGTGTGGGTTCAAAGTAATTTCCTTTTATATCCGAATAACCTGAATTTTCCCAATAGCCTTTGCTCTTAATGCAAATTCTGGTAGCGGTAAATAACGATATATTTGAGTCAAGCGGGTGGAAAACCTAGAAAGATGGGTGATGCGAGAAGAGGGTGGTTCCTTTTCTATTGAAGATACGCAATTCGTGGAGTTCTTTCGTTTAAACAAAGAAATGGGGCATTACATGTCTTTACAGTTAAATCATTAATAAATGACAATTTTTCCTACCTAACTTTAAATTACCGAACGCGACAGCTCGAAAGTGTCAGCAATAACAATTTGAACAGAACTTGCTATGTCTGAGCCGAAAGAAATGAAACGATGGTAAACATAGCAACTTGCCGACTGTGTGAAGACGCACAGAGTCCGATTGAATAGAATCATGTCGATAGGTAGAATACGATAGAACACGGAGTCCCACTGCTGACGTATTTACGTAGATGCTTTTTGTCACAGAATTACGTGATAAACCCTTTCACCCCAGAGTACCTACTGCTATTTATTTGTTAATCGAAAGCTCATCAGTAGCTTGGAGCTTTATGGTCATAACCATAGGCAGACACAAGATAGTTCGAAAATTTTGTCGGAACTAGTGTTCAAAATCTACACTACATGCTAAACTTTTCGACATGGTGAATGGAACCTTGCGATCCTTTGAAGAATATACCAGGGTCTCAAAATACCCATTACTTGCAGTTTTAATAGAGATGTGATCATTAGTTGAATGAGACTGATTGTTTGTTGGTTGCAATTGAAAAATTGATGTCATCAAATCTAGACATAGCTGTTTATTTGTAAAAAAACATTTGTGGCATTCATCAGCAAGCAGGGTTTTGGAATACTCAAATATTAGTGGTATCGTTTTACTTTTGATTGTTGTGGCTCCATACAATGATATGGCTTTCAGATTTTAAAATAGTGTTAGTTCCATGTAAAGTTCCAGGTATCTACCGCAGCCTTTCTTTAGACAACATAAAATGCTTTGTCAGCTCACGTTACGTTGAAAGTTTTTATTACTTTATCTTTTCCAGGAAGAGACGAACTGATATCTTGTGACTAGTCCATTCTTCTTTTCTAGTCTATTCTTAGCCTCGGATCAAAAGACTGCTGGTACTCTTACTCAAACCAAAACTGCATTCTGGTAAACGCCACATTTTATAACATTGTGAATACAGTTAAGAATCTATTAGGGCATTCCTATGTATACTTTAGTTACGAAAAATAAGCACATGTTGCGTAAATAGGAGATAATATGTAATATACACCTGACTATTTTTACATTCCCAATATCGTTGCTTTTTATGTTCGAGGATCGCCGCATAGCATATGTGTATTCCTAATTTGCAGCAATAAGACGTATGCAGAGCTTTCCAGAAAGAGAACAAATGAATGGATGGTAATTACATAAATATATATTTAAATTAGCACTACAGGCCTGGTAGGCTCTGCTCATATTATCGTCCATGGTTCACATGCATATCTGAGCTCTGGCACTGACATTTTGTAGATCCTTATTTGAGCTTCCCTGGATATAATTTTGCTTTGCAGTAGTCCTTCTAGCGCGTATATGACACGATTTTCGGACATTATCCTATTTTGTATCCCTTTCTTGTTTCCGGCTTTGAAGCAATAGTGTACCCCAGTATTCGAACGTCTGCCCCTTTTCAAATTTATAGATTTGCCCTTGTATTGTAGTCAATATCAAGTTCGGTCCTTTATGAAGTTCCTTATTTGCCCACTCCATGTATTTTGTCTTGTCTACATTGATGTACAGTCCCTTGCTTCGTGCTTTTTACTTCCTACGCCATCAGGCCAGGAAGAATTGTAATTACGAAAAATTTCGAAAATGAGATATCACAAAAGACCATGTCACTTACTTTCATGGGCCTGTATGACTGACTTCACCCACTTAATTATTTTGTTATACATGTTTGTAGGTAATAATCCTTTATTAACTGCGAAGAAAGCGTAGAGTCAACCCACTTGACATCTTTTTTCTTCTAGTCTCTTATCGGTGTCTATAAATTCGACTTTAGTTCTGACCAGAACAGCCAGGTCGTCATCAAGCTAGACATTTATGCTTTCTGCAATATACTAGACCAGACCTGTTTCTGTTTGCTTCTTGCATAGTTTTCTCGAATACAATGTTAATTTAATGCAGCGGCGGCAGTGGATCTACCTGACGAACGCCTTCTTTGCCTTCAAACCTTTCGGTGGTTTGGTGTTAACCTTGACCCTATTTTCCGTTTTCTCTGATGTTATTTCAATCATATTAGTGATGATGGTAGTTTTAAACATACTTAATGTGAAAATGTTAAGTAAACTGTGTTGCTATGTACATCTTTCAGAAGGAAGATAGGTGTCCTAGCCCTCTCGAAACAGAAAGAGAAATGGAATTGTCCCGTAAAGGTCTTTCAGCTCCCTATAAGTTCACTATAGTTTTTTGCACGTTCATCATCTAGTATGCGCTCTATCACAATAGTGGCTTCTGCATTAGGTCTTGGCGAGTAGCAACAGATAAATGATCCCTAGCTACCAACTCTTCTTCTGGCAGGCTCTTATGATTGCCTCTTATTATAATGCGAAAAACTTATTCCAGTATTGTTATATCGTCTAGTCAAATTTTGTGAAAATTTCATTTTTGAATGGGTGTATAATCACACCTATAAGTGGTCCATATTGTAAATGTAGGAAAAATTAATTGTTTAGTATTAAGCATCATGAGTAGACTGCTCGTATTTACAATTCTATTTTATTGTTTATGGTTCTTGTACAAATTTTTTATATTTTTGTTGATATATCTTGATGTTATTCAAAGAGCTAATTTATTAAATATTGATAAGATTTGGTATGGCATGTACCTACTCCTAAATATAGAATTTATGTAAATTATGTCTTTTATTCTTCCTGTCACTGATATAACCATGAAAAGTATAAGCAGTTTCAAAATACCTAGTGTAATAAACCGCACTTCTTCTTCACTCTTAGCAGTTGTTGACACATACTTCTTAAAATCCATCAGGTATATTTCACAAAGTCTTTTACAAACTGATGGAGACTTGCTATCAGTGTCACCGAAATGCGAAGAGGTATGTAGGTACTATATTCTGTTCCTGCCGCAACACCTCTCGTCGTATCTGCGACGCTGATGCATGATGTGTCGCTGAGGCGATCAGGTCTTCTTCACAAATTTAAATGATGAGACCTGCGATTAGGATCACAGAAATGCGAGCAGGTATATAGGTTGTGCTGTGCGCCTGTTACGGTATACGAGCGCCAAACCATCTCGTCGTATCTTCGACCCTGATGCATGATGTGTCGCTAAAGCGATCAGGTCCTCTTCGCAAAGTTGAATGATGAGAACTGCTATTAGGATCACAGAAATGCGAGAACGTATATTAGATGTACTCTGCGCCTTCTATGGTATACGAGCACCAAAACATCTCGTCGTATCTTCGACCCTGATGCAAGATGTGTTGCTGAGGCGAACAGGTCCTTTTCGCAAAGTTAAAGATGAGAACTGGTAACAGGATCACATAAATGCGAAGAGGTATGTAGATGTACACTGCGCCTTCTACGGTATACGAGCGCCAAAACCTCTCGGCATCTCTGCGGCCCTGATACAAGACTGAGAGTTCCTGAAATCGCTAAGACGACGAGATATTTTTCGCAAAGTTAAATGATGGAAGACTGCTATTAGGATCACAGAAATGCGAGGAGGTATATATGTGTACTGTGCGCCTGCTATAGTATACGAGCGCCAAAACCTCTCGTCGTATCTGCGACCTTGATGTAAGATGTGTCGCTGAGGTAATCAGGTTCTTTTCACAATGGTGAATGATGAGAACTAGTTTTAAAATTATAGAAATGAAAGGAGATATATCGGTGTGCCCTGCGCCTTCTGTGGTATACGACCACTAAAACCTCTCGTCTTCTCTGCGAACCTGATCCATGATGTGTATCTGAGGCGATCAGGTCCTTTTTGCAAAGGCGAATGTTGATAGCCGCTACTAGGATCACAGAAATGCGAGAAGGTATATAGGTGTACGAGTACATTGCACCCTCTATGGTATACGAGCGCCAAATCCTCTCGCCATCTCTGCGACCCTGATACAAGACTGAGAGTTGCTGAAATCGCTAAGGCGAAAAAATGTTTTTCGCAAAGTTGAATGATGAGAACTGCTATTAGAACTTGAACGATACTAACTGCTATTAGGGTTACAGAAATACGAGGAGGTATATTGGTGTGCTGTGCGCCTGCTATGGTATACGAGCGCCAAAACCTCCAATCATATATGGGACCCTGATACATGATGTGTCGCTGAGGTGATGAGGCCTTCTCGCAAAGTTGAATGATGAGAACTGCTTTTAGGATCACAGAAATGCAAGGAGGTATATAGGTGTGCCCTGCGCCTTCTGTGGTATACGAGCGCCAAAATCTGCCGTCGTCTCTGCGACCCAGCTGTAAGATGTGTCGATGATGCGCTCAAGTCCTTTCCGCAAAGTTGAATGACGAGAGCTGCTATTAGGACCACAGAAATTCGAGGAGGCATATAGTTGTACTCTGCGCCTTCCATGGTATAGGAGCGCCAAGACCTCTCGTCGTATCTGCGACCCTGATGCATGATGTGTCGCTGAGGTGATCAGGTTCTTTTCGCGAAGTTAAAGATGAGAAGTGGTATTATGGTCACAGAAATGCGAAGAGGTATACAGGGTTATCCAAATTAAGTGTCCACCATTAGTAACTTTGTTATTAGTGAAAATACAAAGTTGTTTGAATCAGCAAACTAGTAGCATTTTTAACGCTGGTAAAAATGAGAAAAAAAAAAAACAATTGAGAGTCGTTATTTTGATTTTTTTCAGTAAAATAACATTTTTTTAAATGGAAACCCCTGTATATTATATTTTTTTCTGTTAAAGCATCAAATTTTAAACAAAAAAGTTCATAATGACTTTTCCGCTAAAGTCAAAAATAAAGTCAAAATAACGATAAATATTTTTAATTATTTGCAGTATTATAATATTAAGACGGCTATGAAAACAACATGGCGTTCGCGATTTGACAGCATTAAGATAAGCGACAAATTGTTAAACTGGACATATGTACTCGCAACTAGAAGGCTTTGGAAAACAATGATAAAATCAAATAATGTCAAACATTAGTGTAAATACTTGTTTATAAGCTTTATTGTGTCATTAATTTAAAGAAAAATGTTCTCCCATGAAGAAAAGTGTGATATGTTAGAATGCTATTTAGTGTGCAGAAAATCCTCCTTGAGAGCAAGAGAATACTACAGTGAATTATATCCCGCTCGCATTCAATCGTATGAACGATATTTTCTGAGACTTTATCGAAAATTTAGGGGCAACGAAAATGTTTTTGCTAAAACAAGGGCAAAAAAAGAATTCATAATAAGCGAGGCCACGGAAATTGCAGTTATTGGATATTTTGAAGCTTATCGTGAGAATTCAATAGCAGATATTCTCAAGGACTCTAATTTCAGTTATGGTACTGTTCAAAGGATTTTACAAAAATACAAATTTATTCCGTATAAGTACCGACCAGTTCAAACGCTTTTGGCAGGGGATCCAGAGAGAAGACTTGTTTTTTGCCATTGGTATCTTAGCTTCTGTCGCCAAAATGTAAATAACTTTCGTTACCTTTTATGGACAGATGAATCAAATTTTTCAAATTCTGGAATGTTTAATAGAAAAAACCACCATTATTGGTCAAGAGAAAATCTTTTGTTAGTACATCCAAGAGGCCCACAAGTCCGTTTCAGTTTCAACGTTTGGTGCGGTATAATTGGTTGAAAAATTGTTGGCCCGTTCTTTTATGAGGGAACCCTAACTGGTGAAAGATATGTGGAATTTATGTCAGAAATTCTGACTAATTTCTTAGACGAATTGGATCTTATAAGTAGACATCATCTGCATTTTCAGCAAGATGGCGCACCTGCCCACAACTCCAGAGGTACTTATCATTTTCTAAGTACTACTTTTAATGATCAGTTGATAGGAACAAATGGCCCAATACAGTGGCCTCCCAGATCACCAGATCTAAACCCACTTGATTACTTCTTGTGGGGTTACTTAAAGAACCAAATTTACAAGCGAAGGTACGATAACCTTGACGCGTTAAAGACTGCAGTTAGGGAAAAGATAACCCAGATAGATGGTAGGACCATACTTAAGACAGTTCGAGCAGTTGAAAAACGTGCCCAAAAATGTATTGAAGAACAAGGTGGTGTTTTCGAGCATCTTCTTTAAAAAAAATTGTTATTGTATTTTGTAAGATTATAAGTTGATGTTGAAAATAAAGTTTGTCGATACAATTTAATTGTTTCAGATTGGAGGCCATAACTTCAACAATTTGTAACCTAGGAGAAAAGTTATAGCAAGCTTTTTTGTTTAAAATTTGATGCTTTAACAGAAAAAAATATAATATACAGGGGTTTCCATTTAAAAAAATGTTATTTTACTGAAAAAAATCAAAATAACGACTCTCAATTGTTTTTTTTTATTTCTCATTTTTACCAGCGTTAAAAATGCTACTAGTTTGCTAATTCAAACAACTTTGTATTTTCACAAATAACAAAGTTACTAATGGTGGACACTTAATTTGGATAACCCTGTATAGATGTACACTGCGCCTTCTCTGGTATACGAGCGGAAAACCTCTCGTCATCTCTGTTACCCTGATACAAGACTGAGAGTTGCTGACACCGCTAGAGCGACCAGATATTTGTCGCAAGTTGAATGATGACAACTTCTATTAGAACTTGAACGATGACAACAGCTATTAGGGTTACAGAAATGCGAGGAGGTATACTGGTGTGCTGTGCGCCTCCTACGGTATACGGGCGCCAAAACCTCTCGTCGTATATGGGACCCTGATGCATGATGTGTCGCTGAGGCAATCAGGTCCTTTTCCCAAAGTTGAATGATGAGAACTGGTACTAGGATCGCAGAAATGCGAGAAGGTGTAAAGATGTAAACTACGCCTTCTATGATATACAAGCACCAAAACCTCCCGTCGTATCTGCGATCCTGATGCAAGATGTGTTGCTGAGGCGATCAGGTCTTTTTCGCAAAGTTAAAGATGAGAACTGGTATTATGATCACAGAAATGCGAAGAGGAATATAGATGTACAATGCGCCTTCTATGGTATACGAGCGGCAAAACCTCTCGGCATCTCTGCGGCCCTGATACAAGACTGAGGGTTGCTGAAACCGCTAGGGCGACCAGATGTTTGTCGCAAGTTGAATGATGAGGATCGCAGAAATGCGAGAAGGTGTAAAGATGTAAACTACGCCTTCTATGATATACAAGCACCAAAACCTCCCGTCGTATCTGCGATCCTGATGCAAGATGTGTTGCTGAGGCGATCAGGTCCTTTTCCCAAAGTTGAATGATGAGAACTGGTACTAGGATCGCAGAAATGCGAGAAGGTGTAAAGATGTAAACTACGCCTTTTATGATATACGAGCGCCAAAACCTCCCGTCGTAACTGCGACCCTGATGAAAGATGTGTTGATGACGCGATCAGGTCCTCTTCGCAAAGTTGAAGATGAGAACTGGTATTAGGATCACAGAAATGCGAAGAGGTATATAGATGTACACAGCGCCTTCTATGGTATACGAGCGGCAAAGCCTCTCGGCATCTCTGCGGTCCTGATTCAAGACTAAGAGTTGCTGAGGTCGCTAAGGCGACCAGATATTTGTCGCAAGTTGGATGATGATAACTGGTACTAGGATCGCACAAATGC